TCAATCAATCCTTACTACCATGATATAGACAATAGTACTGAAAGTGGTGTTAAACACCCAACAGTCAATCAATCCTTACCACCAAGATATAGACAATAGTACTGAAAGTGGTGTTAAACACCAACAATCAATCCTTACCACCACGATATAGACAATAGTACTGAAAGTGGTGTTAAACATCAACAATCAATCAATCTCTCCTTACCACCAGAACATAGAGAATAGTACTGAAAGTGGTGTTAAACACCAACAATCAATCAATCCATCCTTACCACTACGATATGGACAATAGCACTGAAAGTGGTGTTTAACATCAACAGTCAATCAATCCTTACCACCACAGTATAGACAATAGTACTGAAAGTGGTGTTAAACACCAACAATCAATCCATCAATCCTTACCACCATGATATAGACAATAGTACTGAAAGTGGTGTTAAACACCAACAATCAATCAATCAATCCTTACCACCACGATATAGACAATAGTACTGAAAGTGGTGTTAAACATCAACAATCAATCAATCCTTACCACCACGATATAGACAATAGTACTGAAAGTGGTGTTAAACATCAACAATCAATCAATCCTTACCACCACAGTATAGACAATAGTACTGAAAGTGGTGTTAAACACCAACAATCAAACCTTACCACCACGATATAGACAATAGTACTGAAAGTGGTGTTAAACACCAACAATCAATCCTTACCACCACGATATAGACAATAGTACTGAAAGTGGTGTTAAACATCAACAATCAATCAATCCTTACCACCACGATATAGACAATAGTACTGAAAGTGGTGTTAAACATCAACAATCAATCAATTCTTACCACCACGATATAGACCATAGTACTGAAAGTAGTGTTAAACATCAACAATCAATCAATCCTTACCACAATTATATAGACAATAGTACTGAAAGTGGTGTTAAACACCAACAATCAATCAATCAATCCTTATCACAATGATATAGACAATAGTACTGAAAGTGGTGTTAAACACCAACAATCAATCAATCCTTACCACCACGATATAGACAATAGTACTGAAAGTGGTGTTAAACATCAACAATCAATCAATCCTTACCACCTCGATATAGACAATAGTACTGAAAGTGGTGTTAAACACCAACAATCAATCCTTACCACCACGATATAGACAATAGTACTGAAAGTGGTGTTAAACACCAACAATCAATCCTTACCACCACGATATAGACAATAGTACTGAAAGTGGTGTTAAACACCAACAATCAATCCTTACCACCACGATATAGACAATAGTACTGAAAGTGGTGTTAAACACCAACAATCAATCAATCCTTACCACCACGATATAGACAATAGTACTGAAAGTGGTGTTAAACACCAACAATCAATCAATCCTTACCACCAAGATATAGACAATAGTACTGAAAGTGGTGTTAAACACCAACAAGCAATCAATCCTTCCCACCTCATATAGACAAAACTACTGAAAGTGGTGTTAAACACCAACAATCAATCAATCCTTACCACCAAGATATAGACAATAGTACTGAAAGTGGTGTTAAACATCAACAATCAATCAATCAATCCTTACCACCAAGATATAGACAATAGTACTGAAAGTGGTGTTAAACATCAACAATCAATCAATCCTTACCACCAAGATATAGACAATAGTACTGAAAGTGGTGTTAAACACCAACAATCAATCCTTACCACCACGATATAGACAATACTACTGAAAGTGGTGTTAAACACCAACAATCAATCAATCCTTACCACAACAGTATAGACAATAGTACTGGAAATGGTGTTATACATCAACAATCAATCAATCCATCCTTACCACCAAGATATAGACAATAGTACTGAAAGTGGTGTTAAACACCAACAATCAATCAATCCTTACCACAACAGTATAGACAATAGTACTGAAAGTGATGTTAAACACCAACAATCAATCAATCCATCCTTACCACCAAGATATAGACAATAGTACTGAAAGTGGTGTTAAACACCAACAATCAATCAATCCTTACCACCACAATATAGACAATAGTACTGAAAGTGGTGTTAAACATCAACAATCAATCAATCCTTACCACCTCGATATAGACAATAGTACTGAAAGTGGTGTTAAACACCAACAATCAATCCTTACCACCACGATATAGACAATAGTACTGAAAGTGGTGTTAAACACCAACAATCAATCCTTACCACCACGATATAGACAATAGTACTGAAAGTGGTGTTAAACACCAACAATCAATCCTTACCACCACGATATAGACAATAGTACTGAAAGTGGTGTTAAACACCAACAATCAATCAATCCTTACCACCACGATATAGACAATAGTACTGAAAGTGGTGTTAAACACCAACAATCAATCAATCCTTACCACCAAGATATAGACAATAGTACTGAAAGTGGTGTTAAACACCAACAAGCAATCAATCCTTCCCACCTCATATAGACAAAACTACTGAAAGTGGTGTTAAACACCAACAATCAATCAATCCTTACCACCAAGATATAGACAATAGTACTGAAAGTGGTGTTAAACATCAACAATCAATCAATCAATCCTTACCACCAAGATATAGACAATAGTACTGAAAGTGGTGTTAAACATCAACAATCAATCAATCCTTACCACCAAGATATAGACAATAGTACTGAAAGTGGTGTTAAACACCAACAATCAATCCTTACCACCACGATATAGACAATACTACTGAAAGTGGTGTTAAACACCAACAATCAATCAATCCTTACCACAACAGTATAGACAATAGTACTGGAAATGGTGTTATACATCAACAATCAATCAATCCATCCTTACCACCAAGATATAGACAATAGTACTGAAAGTGGTGTTAAACACCAACAATCAATCAATCCTTACCACAACAGTATAGACAATAGTACTGAAAGTGATGTTAAACACCAACAATCAATCAATCAATCCTTACCACCAAGATATAGACAATAGTACTGAAAGTGGTGTTAAACACCAACAATCAATCAATCCTTACCACCACAATATAGACAATAGTACTGAAAGTGGTGTTAAACACCAACAATCAATCAATCAATCCTTACCACCAAGATATAGACAATAGTACTGAAAGTGGTGTTAAACACCAACAATCAATCCTTACCACCACGATATAGACAATAGTAGTGAAAGTGGTGTTAAACACCAACAATCAATCCTTATCACCACGATATAGACAATAGTACTGAAAGTGGTGTTAAACACCAACAATCAATCCTTACCACCACGATATAGACAATAGTAGTGAAAGTGGTGTTAAACACCAACAATCAATCCTTATCACCACGATATAGACAATAGTACTGAAAGTGGTGTTAAACACCAACAATCAATCCTTACCACCACAATATAGACAATAGTACTGAAAGTGGTGTTAAACACCAACAATCAATCAATCAATCCTTACCACCAAGATATAGACAATAGTACTGAAAGTGGTGTTAAACACCAACAATCAATCCTTACCACCACAATATAGACAATAGTACTGAAAGTGGTGTTAAACACCAACAATCAATCCATCCTTACCACCACGATATAGACAATAGTACTGAAAGTGGTGTTAAACACCAACAATCAATCCACGGTATAGACAATAGTACTGAAAGTGGTGCTTAACATCAACAATCCATCCTTACCACCACGATATAGACAATAGTGCTGAAAGTAGTGTTAAACATCAACAATCAATCAATCCTTTATACCACGATATAGACAATAGTACTGAAAGTGGTGTTAAACACCAACAATCAATCAATCCTTACCACCATGATATAGACAATAGTACTGAAAGTGATGTTAAACATCAATCAATCAATCCTTACCACCACGATATAGACAATAGTTCTGAAAGTGGTGTTAAACACCAACAATCAATCAATCCTTACCACCATGATATAGACAATAGTACTGAAAGTGATGTTAAACATCAATCAATCAATCCTTACCACCATGATATAGACAATAGTACTGAAAGTGATGTTAAACATCAACAATCAATCCTTACCACCACGATATAGACAATAGTTCTGAAAGTGGTGTTAAACATCAACAATCAATCAATCCTTACCACCACGATATAGACAATAGTACTGAAAGTGGTGTTAAACATCAACAATCAATCCTTACCACCACGATATAGACAATAGTTCTGAAAGTGGTGTTAAACATCAACAATCAATCAATCCTAACCACCATGATATAGACAATAGTACTGAAAGTGGTGTTAAACACCAACAATCAATCAATCAATCCAATTTAGTTTTTGCAAAAATGCTAAGGTTCTCAAGCGATACACTCTTGTTTGAGCCTCTTGTCTAGTTTTCATTTCTGCTTTTTATCTTTAAACTACAAAACCTGGTTAAGCAAAAATGATCAGCAAGACAGGTTTTGGCACAAATTTTCCATTAAACACAAATGTTCTTATTGCATTGTATAAATTTTGAGGGGCAAAAATGCTGGGTAAGCCATATACAGGCTCCTTTGAGCCTATATAGTTAAGTTATACCCCAAATACTATCTTAGCTTAAGGGACAATTTTATTATACGGTGGAACATATCTATACTTAATTTACCCCAAATTACATACTTCAAATGGAGGTTATCCAAAAGTTGACAGAGACATAATCAAGACAAATGGTAACAAGTGTAAGGTCACAGAATATTAGAATATTCTACAGTTGGAATAATTTTCGATTCAAAGGTGCATTCAAAATGCTCTTGCAAATAAACACAAAGTAAATTCAAAAACAACCTGTACACTTTTACTCTGGGCCTCACAAATTTTTGGAAAATATGAAAATTTTATCGATATATAGTATATAATGTGTAACATTTTTATTGTATATTATTTTTGGGGGGTTTATATTTTAGAAATTTACTAGTTCTACAAGAAATATGAGTAAAGGTATATTCACAGTGCATATTCCTTATTTTTCAGTCTGTCATGTCAGAGGAATCTTCAGGTGTGACTGCTGGTCAAGGGATGGAAGGTAATTTTCATTAATAATTTTTGTAATAAATATTTGGTATTTAAAAGTGTTTGGTGTATATGTCTGTCTGGCAGAGTTCATATCAGGATCTTTTGTGGCCAACTACATACCGTAAATTCGAAATTATTGCGTGCATTTATTATTGCGATTTTTTTGTACGACTGCAAATTTATTTGCAGTAGTATTATGTTATGGTGTCTGCCTCTGCGTCTGAAGACATTTTGGTTCGCAGACAACTTGATTATAAGTTCATGGATCTCTATGAAATTTTAGCACAACATCCCATACCATTAAAGAACAGTTGGGATTGTTTTGGGGGGCTATTGTCCTAGCTTTTTTTTTTTTTAGGGGTAAAAAAAAGGAAGTTTTACTGGTTCATGAGTGCCCCGTTGAATGGCGGGTTGCTCTATAGTGATCAGTCTGTCCATCCGTCTGTCCGTCCGTAACAAATTGTGTCCGCTCTATATCTAGAGAACCGTTATGATTTCAAAGTTTATACTTGACATGTATATTAACCAACACCAGAGGGTGTGTCATAATGTATGTACAACTTCCTAGGTCAAAGGTCAAGGTCAAAAACTTTGGTTTTAGTTGACAACCCCATGTCCTATGGTAAAGATCATGTCCTCTCTATATCTTGAGAACCATTATGATTTCAAAGTTTATACTTGACATGTATATTAATCAACACCAGAGGGTGTGTCATAATGTATGTACAACTTCCTAGGTCAAAGGTCAAGGTCAAAAACTTTGGTTTCAGTTGACAACCCCATGTCCTATGGTAAAGATACAAATTTTTTACCACACATTATTTACAGCGGGGCCCACAGAGATGGCTCCCATCTCAATGATATCTAGTTGAAAATAAATTGGTTTGCGGACAATAATTTTAGTGTACGTGTATGGATGTCTAAAAATTTTTAGCACATGGTTCAATACCACAATAAGAGGGTTGGGATTGATTTTGGGGGTTATTGTCTTAGTTTTGTAATTAGGGGCCAGAAAGGGGCAAAAACAATTATGTGTCTGGTTTTAAGACAATAACTTGAGTATAAGAGATATTTCTTTGATCAAATTTTAGCACAAGGTTCCACACCACAAAAGGAAAGTTATGATAAATTTTGGGGGTTATTGTCGTAGATGTTTAGGAATTAGGGGCCAAAAAGGGTCTTACAAAAACAATTTTTTGTCAGGTTCACAAACAATTACTTGAGTATAACTGTATGGATCTCTATAAAATGTGAGCACAAGGTTCCATACCACAAAAGAAGGTTGTGATTTATTTTGGAGGTTATTGTCTTAGCTATTTAGGAATCAGGACAATAATTGGTGTATAAGAGTATAGATTTCTATGAAATTTTATCACAAGGTTCCATACTTCAAATTATAAGTTTAGAATGAGTTTTGTCGAGCCTGCGACTTTTGTCACAAAAAAAGTCGCAAAAGCGAGACATAGGGATCCTACATTCCGTCGTCTTCGTCGGTGGGGGCGTCCACAAATATTCACTCTGTGGTTAAAGTTTTTGAAATTTTAATAACTTTCTTAAACTATCCTGGATTTCTAACAAACTTGGACAGAAGCTTGTTTATGATCATAAGATAGTATCCAGAAGTAAATTTTGCAAAAAAAAAAAATTCCTGTTTATCCGTATTTTACTTATAAATAGACTTAGTTTTTCTGCCAGTTAACATTACATTCACTCTGTGGTTAAAGTTTTTAAAATTTTAATAACTTTCTTAAACTATCCTGGATTTCTACCAAACTTGGACAGAAGCTTGTTTATGATCATAAGACAGTATCTAGAAAGAAATTTTGTAAAAATTTATTTCCTGTTTTTTCGTATACTACTGGACTTAGTTTTTCTTCCAGTTAACATTACATATAGTCTGCAGTTAAATTTTTAAAAACATTTATTAGATCCATAAACCATCCTGGATTCTTACCAGACTTGGACAGAAGCTTCTTACAATCAAAAGATAGTATCTAGAGGAAAATTTAAAAAAAAATTTTCCCCATTTTTGTTGAGCCTGCGACTAACAGCAAAAGTAGGCGAGACACTGGGTTCTGCGGAACCCTTACGAATTTTTGAGTGTCATGGCCCATACCGTTTAATAATTAGGGGTCGAAAAGGGGCAGAAGACAATTATTTTTCTGGGTTGCAGGCAATAACTTGAATATAAGTGTATGGATCTCTATTCAATTTTAGCACAAGGTTCCATACCACAATAGGAAGGTTGGGTTTTTTTTCGGGGGTTATTATAGTAGCTTTTTGGAAAATGACGCTATCAGCGGCATGTTTCCGATACCATTGACCAGAACTAACGGAAGTTGATTATGCCTCCGCCTACCGCACTCGGTTTCATATTTACTATTTTACATACTAACTGGAATCTGCTTGTATTACACTACACTCGAACAAAGTCTTTGTTAAAGTGTTGTAGTCGGACGGGAACCAGTTTACATACGTTATTTTATTTACCAAAAAGATATCTTGACCTGTCTATATGTTTTTTGTTATTAAATGGTATTTGGAGCTATCCCTTTGTTATATTTTTCATATTTATTCGAGCTTTCACTTTTATGCACATGTCTTACAATCGTAAACAATCGGTATGTATACATGATAAATAGATCCGTTTTGTTATGGTGTTGGACTTTTTACCCTCCAATGATCATCAATCGCTAGACAAAATAGTTCTCCTTAATAATGTCAGCCTTTCATGCCATTTCAACTTTACAATCATTAAAAAAGTAAAAATCGGAATCATTTTGATATCCATTGGATAGAAACTGGTCTTTATCAAGATTTACGAAGATTTTGATAATCGGAAATTAGTAATATGGTTATACCCACGCGGTGCGTATGAATCTTTGTTCACAAAGTTATAACAGCAGAGTCTGTAACTGTATCATTATTAATTAACTACACTGTTATTGTACTTAAAATGATGAAAACTGCATATGCAATATAAGATGTCAACTCGGCCAATACAGATTTTTTTTCCGTATTGGCCGAGTTCTGATCCGGCCAAAACAGGATTTCGGAACGTCTCTAGTTTTTAGATCGTAAGTCACGATAAACTCAAACTGAAAGTAAACAGTTGTTTGTACGACGCAGTTTTTATTTACTCACCATAAACAAGCTGAAACGTTCAGTATGGCATATATTTTAGGTTAAAGACGGTCCCATTCATTTGAAAAGCATTTTGAAAGTAGACGATGGAAATATTTCAGGTTCAGGGAACGAGTAAATTATCACAAAGTTCATTTCTTGACGACCTCATAATTTCATCATGTCGATTTTTACTGTTCACTTTCGCTTCTCATGTTTTGTAAACGGTCTTTTATTTTTAAACCCGAACCAGGCATATGCATTCTGTAATTGCGCAAATCTTCGTTCTTTGGTCAATTGGCTTATGGAAAGTTGTATCAATTTCAACTCTTACATTATTTTTTTTTTAAATATATTTGCATTACACATGCAATGGCAGTACCTTTCCAATTACTATTTATGTGTTGTGTCTAAATTAAAGTTGTAACACTTTATAGTGACTGGAAAGGGTAGAAAAATTCATCAGATGAGAAAAGGCTGAAGATGCATGGAAACGGCACCAAATCATTAGATATTGCATCTTATAAAAAGAAACTGAGATTTGGATAGTTCCACTTCAAGGTAAAAATGTTTATCTCTTGTGAAATGAAATAAAAAAATATTGTAACACTGTAGTTAATTAATAAAGACACTATTACATGTATTTCTGTATTGGCCTTATTGTTGGTCCTCGGCCAGCAGTATTGGCCTTCGGCTTCGCCTCAGACCAATACACCAAGACATGGACCAATAACAAGGACAATACAGAAATACTTACGCAATAATATTATAGAATGACAGTATGGTTCAATAGCGGGAATCAGCCCCTCAACTACTTTTTACATAAATATTAACTTCTGGCTTCAACTCCTTGTTCGTCTTGTCTGGAGATCTTGTTGTAGTTCCAGTTAGGCAAGCATTTTAGAGACGTATCCCGTCCATCCTCTCTTGACTTGTAATTTCTGGTGATAGATTTTGCCGCTTGACGTTGTATCTTTTCAAGCTTGTTTTTTTTTGTGTTACCGTGTAGGGGTCCCATACTATGGCTCCATATTAAATTGTAAGATCCATTCCTAAAGGTCTAGATCATTGTTCTAATCTGACACAAATTTCAATAACTGGAATGCTACCCGAGTTGAATATATGGTGACCTACTAGAACAGCATTATCACTATTGGAATTGTGTTTAATACCATGATTGTTCAATGTCATTAACTTAAATGGAGACAGACATTTGACCTGAAAGGTGGTGTGGGAGTGCAAAATCAAAAACTAACTGACTATGATATATGGTTAAAGAATGAATATCAATTACATGGGTCAACATGGTCAAGGGCAGAGTTGTTATGAAATAACAATATGGCAGAGAAGTGGTTTCAAGTTTCATATAAAGCGACCTGACTGACATGAAATAAAAAATCAAAGGAGTATCCCTATTTGTCTAATCTTCAAGGTGAAATAAAACTAGTAAAACAATATTATACTATTGTCTAAATCTACAGAAATATAATTTGCTTCAAGTAACAGAAATAACTAGGTCACTAGTAACTTATTTAATGAGTATGTGGGGTATAAGAGCTTGATAACAACAGGCTCTTCATAATCATTTGGTTTGAAAAGGATACTAGTAGTCTATATTCTTGATTTAGAAAAATGTAATTGCAAGACAAAAATCACATTACTTAGAATACTTTAGATCATTCAGGTAGTCTTTATTTATATGTACAAAAGAACAGCCAGTAGTCATTGGATATTGTAGATCATTCAAATAGTCTTGACCTATTTATTAGTACAAAAGAACAGCCAGTAGTCATTGGATATTGTAGATCATTGTGGTAGTCTTGACCTATTTATTTATAGAAAAAAACAGCCAGTAGTCATTGGATACTGTAGATCATTCAGGTAGTC